AGTCTGTTTTCATTTCGCTCGGCGCACGGTGTACAAAACGGGACGCGACATTTCTGTCTCCTCACGCGTGCTCGCGCCTATTCCGAGCGAATGGAGTTCGATTACAATGCGCGCGGATTGGCCGGCCTCGAAATTCTGTCACACGGTTTCATCCGTTTTCACGGTTTTACCGACAACCCGGCGACGCTGGCCGCGCGGTCGTTACGTAAGCTCTCGTTCTCGCGCGACCCGACCCGACCCGGCTCGACACGACCCGACACGGCCCGACCCGGTCCGGCGAAAATGCAAACTATTATGCCGCGCACAATAGGCTCGACGAGGCTTTCACTCGTTATCGGTAACGAATCGCCTTCGGGTGGTCGACAATCGGGCGAGATCGCTCTCGTGTCCCAGCCCGGCCCGCGATCGCCTTTCATCCCCAATACCTTCGAGGACTCCTCGAATTTCTATCGCGAGCCACGGGTGAAAGGCCCCGACGACGGCGGAACCGGCAGAAGACCGTAATTTGCAACAACAAAAGGGTCGTTCTCGTCTTTATCGGTGACTAGTAGCTTATTCTCGACACGTGACCGCCCGATAGCCGGCGGCCAACTAGGCTGCGGCTTTCAAAGAAGGGCAGGCACACGCATCGGTCGTGGACGATGTTCCATTTAACCATCCACAAAGTGGCGAGTCGATGGAGCATGGTGCAGTATGATTCCACAAGGGGAACTGGGTCGACGATTTTTTCGGTCTTGCATTCAACGCCGTCGCTTTATTCGACAACTAGCAATTCCGTCAAGTTGTTTTACGCTTGTTTTTCAACGTTCCCCGCCCCTCCCCTCCCACCACCCGTTTCTATTATCCGCGTCTACGCGCGCTTTATTTTTCCGTATCGGAACAACTTCGCCGGGGAAAAAACTTAAAATCGTTTGTTTATCGCGAGACAAAAGAATGGTTTATCGAAGCTATAACGGAAAAGCAATTTCGCGCGCGTACCATTCCGAACAATTCCATCAAACGGATTAACTCGCAAGTTCCCATTTTTTTTCGCTACATACGCGTTACATCGCGGCGAACTTTTCTGTGCACGGTAAATTTCGATACGATAAATTCTCTCGAATTTTTCTTCAGCTCGAGAACAAAAAATGGGCAATTTTGGACAAGAGGAGATACGATTATTCGAGCCTCTCGCGGCTCATAAACGAGGCGCTCTCGAATAATCGCGTCTGGGAACACGATCGAAACGTCGAATAAAAACGCGAATCCCCATGCAACGCGTCCATCCGCGTCGCACGCGAAGTTCCATGCAGCATTCACCGGTTCGCATTGCTAATTCCGTTTTATTAGAGGACCAGGTGAATTCCGTCCGTTCGCGCCGCTATCGTTCGAAGGAACTGTGGCGCGGCTCGGTTCTTAAATAAAACATCGCGTTTCCTCGATACACAACAGGTGTCCTAAAGTTTCGGAACGACGGGCGTCGGTGTTATCGCGGGTCTCCGAACGCGATTAACACGTGACAGCGCGCCGCGAGCATTTTACGGGCGCGAACAGGGGCGTGGGGCGAAGAGAACTCGAGCTTTTGGAAATTCTTCCGGGAATCGTGTCCGGTAACGAGCGCGGGTGCCGTTGTCGGCTTTCGATCCGACAGGTTATTTGGCCGGACACCGATACGAGACACCGATACGGGACACCGTCGGGACTCACGGTTAGATGGCACCGACGAGAGAGGAACATGCACGGGAGCAGCCGGAAGAGACACGCGCTGTCTCGTTTCGGAACGGGAGAACCGGAAATTCGTATCCGCCGTCCAGTAAGCCGAGAAACTGGAGGACCAATAGCCACGGGCCATCCTCGAGCTAAATTCTATCCCAGCCCCTATTTCTTCCGCATTCTCCCGTCGTTGCCCTCGAATCGGCCCCTCCCACCCCTTACTCCCTCCTCTTTCGCTCTCTTTCGCTCTCTCTCTCTCTCTCTCTCTCTAGCTCTCCCGCTCTCTCTCTCTCTCTCTAGCTTTCCCGCTCTTTCTCTCTCTAGCTCTTCCGCTTTCTCTCTCCAGCTCTCCCGCTCTCGTCCTCCTTTTTTATCAGGCCTGTTTAATTCTCTCTGCTCCATTAGTGTCCTTTCTTTCCCATTCGCGCGAAACTTTCTCATTATCCCGCGGAGAATGCACGACCCCCGAGTTTCGTCCAATTGGATCGGCCTTCTTTCTCCCACGCCACCCACGCCACTCTCCCGGGGCATGACCCCGCGATTACCACTCGCCAAGTGAGCATTGTATGCATTTTCGATGAGGTTAGGTCAGCCTCGCTATCGGATCTCGATCGCGAACACGACTTTCGGATCGCCGAATTCGAGACTTCGCTTCGATCGGTGTTCCGGAGGTCGTCGTATTTCGAACTATAAATTATCGGAAGAATAATTTTAATTCGGCTGGTACAACGTTTTACGTATCGTACTTTCCAATGTATCGACGTCGATCGAACTTTTCACAATTAAAGACTACATTGATAAACTGTTGTGCAACGTCCACTTGTTGATCATCGTTGTTTTCCGTTCCAACGACGCTTCCTAACAATCTTCTGTCGCGAAATAAAAAGCTGTTCTCGAAAGTTAAGACAAATCATCTGCAAAATTCGCGGTTCGGTGATGGAACGCGAGAGTTAGAGCGACTTACGTTCGGACAGCGGATCGTTGTGCGAAATAACAATTGTCTGCCTCGATTGCAACGAACGGAAGTCGAATAAAAATATATTCGCTCCGTTAATCGAAGTACAGTAATGTCTCCCTCACTGACGCTCAGATTGTGCAGAAAAATGGACAATTTGGGAACAGAAGATACGATTATTCGAGCCTTGCAACTCGTTCTTATAGTCGTTGACAATCGATAAGCATAAAAAACGAGCCACAAGGCTCGAACAATCGTACCTCCTTTTCCAACATTGTCCATTTTTGTGGACGATATGAGCGTCAATTAGGGAGACATTACTGTAAGTTGAAAATAATACAACGGTATTCTTAAAATCTCCAGCTGTTCTCATCGTTCCGTGTTTCATCCGATCGTTTTTTCTCACAAGAGCATAAAATCGGCCGTCTACTCGCGATCGTAGGGGGCGGATAGACGAGCGAATCGATGATCCAGAGAGGGTTCCGGGGAGCGGAAGTACGGTTGTTCGGATGCGACGGACGAGTAATGCGGCGAAAGTAGGTTGGAAAACATCCTAATGAGGAGTTTCGTCGTCGTCGTCGTCGTTCGGCTATCGCGGCCGGTTATGATCGATTCCCGCAGACTGTCTGGAAAGTCGGTATCTATAATAGATGGAGCGGCCAGCCCGCGTTCGTTGGTTACGAGGAATCCTCGTCGGGGCACTCGAAGAAACAGTTGCTCGCCCAATTTCGCGGCCGGCCGCGCGTCTCGCTCGGCGAGTTCGTAAAATTGTTGAAATTTTAATGAACAACTGAAAACTCTCGTGTGATCGTTAACAGGAGTGGCCGTTGAAACGCGAGAACCGCAAGGCACGAATTTATAGCCGGCGAGAACAATGTCGTCGTAACGATGCGCACGTCGGACATTCTACGGCCGCGAGCGTGCCCCTAATTACACCGGAATTAAACTCGAAAGGAATGTCCGCCGGTGTCCGAAACCGCGATAAAGCGTCGAACGACACCGGTCCGTTTTTCCGCGTCCGAGCGTTCCCTCGTAACTCCGTCTCCCTTTCGCGCTTCCCTTCTTTCGTTCTCTCTCTCTCTCTCGCTCGCGCGGCGGTATCGATTTCGCGGCATTTATCAGGACCGCCGCGGAATCGGATTTATCTCGACGAAACGGCGCCGGGAACAGAGAGCCTAGGAAATTTGTTTCGACGCGACGCGTTCCCGCAGTCGCGCGCTCCGATTCGCCCGCCAAGCGCATAGTTTTCCTGTAATTGTAAAATTGAAACGTTCGCGTCCGGGGTTTACGCGAACCGCGTCTAAGCGAAGAAATTAATTGCCGCCCGCCTCGACGCGGTTTAAGTGTCAAAGAAACGCGCGGAGCGTCGATGGGCGAGAGCAAAAGGGATGCCGAGTCCGGAGAAATTGGTCGGTCAACGTTGAATGAAAGGCCGATTCAAAGGAATCGAAATTGAAGTCGACGATGAATTATTTTAGTTTTTAATTATTCAAACGAATTCTTCGCGTTCTCCGGCGAATGTGTAGCAGTTCGATAAAGCGTTTCGCGCGAGCCGGACAGCGTTCGATTCTCGAGCGATTCTCGATAAAAATACGAGCCCCGAGTCAAGAACGGTCGTTCGGGGCTGCGCGAGCCCAGCGCGCATTCAAATTCGATTCTCTTCGAAGACAAAGCCCTGTGTGGAAAGTATTACGCGCGAAGATATATCTTCTTCCACGCGTCAGGATTTATGGGACGTATTCAAAAGGACGAAGTCTGTCAACGTGGAAATAATCTTGTTTTATGGCGCATTGCTTTGGGTTACAGCATCGCGTCTCCGCGGAGCTGTATCTTTTCACGCGATCCGGTCACCGGTGCACGGGTCGCCTTCCCGCGAACGTAGCCCCGATGAAACGGAAACTCTGTCCGTTCGCGTGGAACTCGACCGAGGACGAAATCCCACGATTTCCAAGCCCCGTCGATCGACTCGTCCCACAGAAATCTCTCTCGCTTCCGGGCGCAAGATTCGCGGCAGTGCCGGGAAAGCTTTCGCCGAAAAGCTCGAACAAGCAGTGTCCGCAGTCGGGAAAATTAGCGAAGTTCGATGGACCGAGACAACGGCGCGGTCTATCCGAAAGCCCATCGATCACTTTTTTCCCGGCGGAAGATTCCGAAGTTTCGAAATTAGACGCGGCAAAGACAGTTCGGAGAGCCTGGCCGGGCCGAACGCGGCGCGCCCGGGCCGGTAACGGCCATTCAAAAACGCATCAATCTCAATTTGCGAAGATAGCGGCAAGTTGGTCAGTTTCCCTCGCGGCGGAACAAATCAATTGTCGGCGGGTGTACGGCGCGGGAAAAACGCGTTGGCACTTACCCATCTATCAGCGGCACGTCCCTGAGAATCCTGCGAGCCGCCGCGAGCCGATCGCCAGCGTGGGCAGCGAGCAGGATCCTCGTCAGTAGCTGACCAAGGACCATCACGCCCACCACCATCCTCATCCTCCGCCTCGCTGGACCCGCAGCTCCTTCTTGCTAATATCCTCATGCCATCGCCGTCGACCGACCGGCTCGCCCGCAGGATATCTCCCCCGGCAGCGATTCCACGATTTCCTGTCAGTCCGGTCCCGACCCGTCCCTCTTTTCCACTGGACACACGCGTCGGCCTTCTCGCGCGCGCGTTCACTCTCCGCGAATCGCTGTCATTCTCGCGCGCCCCCGCCGACCGTGAAATATCGTCCGCCGAGCACACCGGCGAAAATTTTCAATCGTCCTCGATCCCCGCGAGACCGGCCACAATCTACCGGATCGGATCCGGTTCACCGATCACCGGCCTCCCGCTCCCTCGATCCTCCTCCTTCCCTCGAGCATTTCTCTCCCCACCTGCTTTAGAACCTCCGAACGATCTCCGACCGACGGTCTCTCCTGTCTTCGAGAGCGAAGCTAGGTCGGCCCAGCCATCGGTCCTCACCTTCCACAGATATACCGATTACCGAGACTTCGATTTCGCCTCGCGCATCCACCAGTCGGCACCAACGCACTGTCTTCCGTTTCCAGATTTCCAGATTCCTCGCGCCGACCTCTCTTCGGTTACGCACTTTTCGGAGCCTCGCGAATCAGCCGCGAACTCGGACCACTCGATCGAGACGCCCACGGGGATTGTTTGGCTGCTCGGACAATCCGGGATCAGCCGGCCGGGCCGATCCTCGTCGAGCAAGGTCCCGTCACGGGCCGGAACAGAGGACGTTGATCCTCGGAAGCCGCGCCACTATCGCGGGTCGGGGTGTCTTCTCCAGGCTTCTTTGATCGGTCGAGCTGCCCCCGAGTGTTCGAGGGAAATCGAGTCGTTCCCGCGGAAACCCTCGGCGGACCGTTTGCTAATTACGAGCCGCTCGAGGCGGTTTCGTCCGAATTATTTCGGACGTTATCCTCGTTATCCTGCCGGTGGACCGCTCGCGGTCCTCTCGCCGGGATTTTACGTCGGTGAGCGGGCGCGTCGTCGGACGTTCCAGCCGGAAGATTAATTAGCGGCCGTGTCGGGAGACAAACGGCGGAGGAGAATGGAAAGAAAGAGAGGAGGGAGCGCCCCGAGAAAAGCGGGGGCGCGAGCCCGGGCCGAGCGGGTCGAGCGTGAAAAGCCCGTTTTCGCTCGATCGCGGTGTTTTTTGGCGGAGCGGGATCGGTGTTCCGGGTCGGTCGTTGATGCGCGATCCGTGTCCCCTTCAGCGTCCGCGCGCGGAGCCGCGATCTCGCCGCAACTTCTCCATCTGCGAGCCAAGAGCGACGATCAGCACGCGTCGACGACGCATCGCGATTCGCGGGATCCCGGCGCGATGTAATCGGCGCGTACGAGCCGAGCCGAGCCGACGGCGCGTCGCGTATCCGGCCGCTCGTAAATCTGTCCCGATTAATTCGGCACTCGATTAAGTCTCCCGATTAATTACGCGGTCCATCCGGCGGAACGGATTCCTCTTGCGCTCCGGTTCGGCGACGCCAGGACCGGAATGATGGATCGAGCAATCCGGTGCCCGAGCACTCTCCCGACTGCTCTCTCTCTCTCTCTCTCGGATTCTCTTTTTTCGCGCGTCCGCACCGAGCCACGCGGCCCGAACAGTTCTCGCGAACTTTCGGCGGAAGGTCGCCGCGACGACGCGACTCGACGCGACGCCTGCAATTCGGACGGGAGCGAAGGGCTTTCGGTCGGTGCAGATCGGTTCTCCGGAAATCTAATCGCGCCGATCGCTCGCGCGACCGACCGAGCCGGGGCGCGCGTTCTTTCGACGCGCACACCCGATTAACAATCGAACGGAGCCGGCGAACGCGCGCGCGGCCGTTAACGTCGGCTGCGACTAATGAGTCGGCCTGTTCATAATTATCGGCAGACACGGTGCCGCGTCCGTGCGCCGCTTATCGCCCCGATACACGGTATTTATCCGCCTGCCGATGATTAATTAGCGCTAACGACGTTAACGATCGCGCCCTTTGATCCTCGCCGATAGGACGTCCGGCGGGACCGTCGCCGACCGTTCGCGGTGCCGCGAAACAAAACCGGCCGATCATCCGCGAATTTCCGAGCGATCTTCGCCGGCGATAAGGGGAACGGTCGTCCGCTAACCGCGCGAGGCTTCCCCTCGACGAGCCGGTACGAGCCGGTCGGCTCGAACAACGCGCGTGGAAACCCGCCGGCGGCCGCGGCTCGTCCGCCGTTTTACGCGCCGTAAATCCGGCGGCCTCGATTCCGACGTCTGTTCCGCGGACCGCGGTTTCTCGCTCCACTGGAAACGGCTGCTGGAAATTCACGGAGAACCGAGAGGGCACAGCCGCGCGCCGCGATAGGAAACGGGGAAAAAATTCGGCGGCGGGAGTACGCGCGCAAACTTTTTCAACCTTTCGGACCTCGGCGGAATCGGCTCGGCGGAAAGCCGGTCGCGGTGGAGGATTACCGTCGGTGGAATCGGTGCGGAAGGGTGGGCGGAACGGCCGCCTAGGAGGGCGACTCGCGTTTCGAGCGCGCGCCACGCGGAACGGGCGGTTTCCGCTCGCGGAAACACGTCGCGGCGTCCGGGAGGGTGTTTCCACGGTGGCGGAGTCGCGCAACCCCGATCACTGGTTGTTCGCGGTCCGGAGTTGAAGACCCGACTGATGGAAACGTACGCAGAAACTCGGTATAGCCGAGGGCGCAGGCGCCTCTCCTCGCCGCGATCTTCCTCGGTTCCAGCGGGTGCCGCGCGCCTCTGTTGCTCGCCCGGCTATCTCCGACGTCCTCTTCCGGAACCGAGCCGAGCCGAGCCGAGCCATCCCCTTCGTCGCCGCGTACTCCGATCTCCACCCAAAGGTCCTCCTCTGCATCCGGCCGACCGTCCGCGTCCGCGACACCACGCTACTTTTTCGGATCGGCTCCCTGGCCACGACTTCGCCGAATCAGGCACGCCGCGTTTACCCGGATTTAGCTATTCTTCCCGCGAGTCTCGCGGCTCGGGTCCTCTCCCCGGGGTGAACCTCCTGTCTGGGTGCTCCGCGGTTCCTTCTCCAGCTCCGGAGGTTGTTAGTTGCTGCGCAGGCTTTTGTACGGTCAACTTTTATGAGGTAATTTCGGCAAACATTCTCGCGGTTTCTTCTTCCATTTCGGAAGTTTATTATTCGTTTATTAGGCGAACGCGGCTTGGACTTCGACGCGTTGTAAATTCTTTGGAATCTTCTAGGAACTGGGCAAACATTGCTACAGTAAATTGTCGTTTCGGTTTGTAAACAAAAATGGACAATTCGAGAAGAAGAGATACGATTTTAATCGAGCCTCGCGCCTCGTTTTTATACTCATCGACGATCGGCAACTATAAAAATGAGCCGCGAGACTCGAACAACGGCATCGCCTCTTCCCAAATTGTCCATTCTTCTTTACAAGCCGAAGGACAATTGGGCAGAACTTACGGCACATCGAAATTCTCTCACCCCCTCCCCTCGATTCGCAGATCTCCGTATTTGAAAAAAACTCTCCGACCCGGTTCTCCGTTCTTTCTCTCTCTCTCTCTCCTCGAATGCTCCGCTCGTCTCTTAGATTTTCCGATGGGAAGTTTCGATACCCTATCGAGGGTAGACACCCGTGGAAGCGTTCACCTCGCGGAGATCTCGGGTCGCGAGGAAAACTTTCATTTCCATGGCCGGTCCAGGTAGCTGGTCGGTCTCGAGTCGATCGTAAAGCGCGATAGCCGGGTCGCAGTCGACGGAACTCGATTAAATCTCGACGGACATGGTTGCGTGGCATCGTCGGCCGATCGTCGCCGTACGGTTCGTCAAAGTTTTTCTCGGCCCGTTGTTCGGATCGGCCCGGGGGGAACGCACGGCGAGCCGAAAACCCCTGAAACGAAGAGGACGAAGATGTTTGAAAAGGACGAACGTAATTCCGCAGGGTAATGGACAGATCCGACGCGGACGGGGACAGGGGAAACGAGGGACGGTTCTTCCTGCTATCGCGCCTCGCCGATCGTGCCACCTTTGATTCCAGTTCGTCGGGATTAATCTTTCTCTGTTCGCGCGCGTAGCTTCTCCCGGCGCTGCTCGTCCTTTTCCGACCCTGTTCTCGCCGCGTCGGGCCGCGTCGGGCCGCGTCGGACCGCGCCGAGACGCCGGGACGCTCGCATTCGTCTCGTCCTCGGTCTAATGCAAATTCCGAAAACGCTCTAGACCCACCGCCATAAATCAGGTTAACGTTTTCCACGTTTGCTCGGATACAGTGGCCCGTGTGTTTCGCACACTGTCGCCTGCCAACCCTCGTCCTTCGTCCTCGCGCGCCACCGCGCGCCCCCTTCCGATCCGCAGCCTGATTATGACGACGGTGTACCCGACGAAATTGCGGTTCGCCCGTTAAACGCCGCGGTCCAATCTCAATTTCTAATTCTATTTCGAGACGCGGACGCTCCCGCGACTCGGCTTTCGAATGTCCGACCACGTCCGCTAATTGGCTGCTTTCGCGGCGCATGTTTTTCTACTCTCGCCGGAGCGGTAACGTTCTGGAAGAAGTTCTGCCGCAACAACGGCCGGAGAACGGAGTAGACGAGACGGCTACCGAAATCGCGTTCACATTTTCCTGTTTATTCGAAATCCTTGCGTTCGAGTAGGAGCACAATGTATTCGAAAACTTGGAGGTTGGAGGCAAATTTTAAACAATTTCGTCGCCCACATATGGGTGACGCGGCGGCCAAAGCGTTGACACCGAAGAAACCGTGGCTATTACGATAACGATTCGAGGAACTGCAGCGCGCGCACCGAGATTACGATCGTCGCGAATGCACAGGGAAAACGGATGTATCTCGCATCTCGTCTTGTTCTCGCCATAATCGAGCGTCGTCGTAGTCCGCGAGCCGGTTCCATTGGACCGGGGCCAGTCTCCTCGAGGCCGCGCCGCTCTGCTCGCCGCTGTTCGCCGCTTCGCGTCGCGCAAATTGCGTCCGCTCGGCCGCGCCAAATTGACCGAGGTCCGAGGTGGAAACCAGCGATTCGGGAAACGTGAAAAATCGTCCGTTTCCGGTCCAGCCCCGGCGCCTTGCTCTAGCCCCATCGAGATCGCCATTAGAGACGGCGAGTTTGAAAATTTCGCATACGCGACCCCCTAATGAGTCGTCGCACGCCAAATCGCCGCGATCCCCCTCTCCCCGCCCCTCCGTCAACCTCTTGAACCGTTCCGGAAAAATGGGCAAACTTTGGCCCGTCCGTCGGCTGGAAACACTGGGCGTCCGCAATCAGCGGAACGATGACTTAACCGCCTCGTTTTGTTTCATGGGAACGCGCGGCCGCGTTTCGTTGTCGTTAACATTCCGGGGGACCGATCGTTAACGGTAATCGGTTTGACGTACAATGGCCCCGGCCGGTTTTCGACTTTCCGAGGGCATTTTTATGGCGTCCGGATGACCGTTTCTCCTCGTTAACGCGACACGATGATAATTATTCCATTCGGTAATTAAACTGATCGGGTGGGGCTAGGAGGCGGCGCGAAAAATCTGCAACACAAATTATTCAACGCGACCCCGTTTGTCGTTTCTCTCTCTCTCTCTCTCTCTCTGTCTGTCTGTCTGTCTCTCTCTTCCTCTTTTCCTCCCTCAACCGTTCGTCTAATGATTTTCGATAAATTCATCGGGGCTCGTTTTAAATAACGATCGAAACCAAACCGTTTCCATGGACCATTTAAAATTCATTTAACCCTGGGACGATGTTATTTTGCGCTCCGGTCTTGTTACCACCGTCGAATCAGCCTGTATTTACGGTACACACCGCGCCGCTGCTCTCGAGAGCCTCGCGCGCTTCCTCTCGGAACGAAGCGTCGCTACTGCTTTGTAACCATCGCAATAACAAACTGGGTCTGCGGTGCACCGGAATTCGCCTTTTTTTTGCGATCGTCGCGGCTTTGCTCTGTCGCGAACGCCGGGAGGATTCCGTTTCTTGCCGAAGCATAACCTCTTTGAACGAGAATTCAATTAAACGCGCGTTACGTCTGGTAAAGATCAAAGGAAAATCGGGAATAATATTTTTTGGACCGTGCTTCGTACGGATAGCTGTCGTGTCCGACCATGGCGGACAGTTTCTACTCGAGTTCCTATTTGTACGCTAATCGCGCCATGTTCGATCAACCCGGTCAGAATCAGTGGCGCACAATTTTTGCTCTTTAATCAGCATTTTTGCCAAGGAAAAGGTTGCTTCGAACGACCTCAGAAACTCCTCGTTTCTCGCTTGTGTAATAATTTTGGGACAAACCTGTACGCGCAAATAACTTAAAAATGTGAAGTTGAATTAAAAATTAAATCTACGTTAGATAATTCACTAAAAGTATAATTAGTGAAAACAATTTTCAAATTTTCTTACGTTTCTTGGATCGATCGTAGGTAGAAAGATAATTTTTCTCTGCGACGCGGACAAGGAAGTTTACGGATCCCGAGCGCTAATTAATCGGCAGTCTGCAGAAATCGGAGCCGCGCACTCGCTCGGAGGGCTCGAACGCAGTCGCAGGTAAGCGAAGCATGTTGCAACGCGCGATCATGATACAGCGAGGTCTACGAAGTCCGATATAAACGCCGTAATGTTGGAATAGTTGCGCGCGATGCTAAGCGACACTCAATTAATGGGCGAAATAGCGCGCGAAATAGCGCGCGAAATACGAATAAAGCGGACTGTATGCCGCTCGCTCGGTATACCGGCGAGCTGTTCAACCGTGTGATTCTAATTAGAATTTTCCGAACCGGACCAAATCGGCGAACGCGTCAACGGTGTTCCACGTCAAACTGAATTTTTCGCAAATGGATCATTTCGAAGACTGTTCGCCGACGTATTTTCCATTAAACGTCCGTCGATCGGCCGCGACCCTTCCACGGGATTACTGTATACACCTTTCAATCAGGATCGCGCTTGCTTGCAGCGCGCGGTTTTCTAATCGAGGGCCAATAAATTCAAAAATCTTTCTCGAGATTTCCCGGTACCATTGGAAACTCGTCGTAATATTAACGATCGTCGACGCAATATTCCGAATCGAATGTTCCGTAAACTCTGCGGGTTTCAACGAAGATCAGTGTTATCAGTGGACCGCGAATTTTTATGGGAAATAAAAATTGTCTTCGTCGATTGTACAAGAAGACGATTAAACAAAAATATACTTCTTCTTTTCCAGTAGCAGCAATCAATCGAAGACGTCCTCTTGTTCCGTATTCCGCTCAACTATTCTTGTCACAAATGCATAAAATCCACGGTCTATGCACTCGAGTGGCGACACCGAGGCGACGCTAAATCGCTACACTATTTTCAAAAGAATTTACACATTATTAAATTAGTATGTATTCGATAAATTGTCCTCATTTTGGAATTGAAACAATCTCGAGTGCAAAGGGTTCGTAATCATTGTCGGATACTCGACGTTGCAGTTTTCGCTTCGATCTATAATAATCCGATCGCTTACAACACGAGAAAAAACACGTGTTTCTACTTCGCATAATTTTCCTCTCGGTATCCGACGAACGCATCGGCAACGAAGAGATAGACTTAGAAATTCTGTCGCAGAAAGTGAAACGTCGATGATAATCAAAATTCGTCGCGTTTTATTCCAAATTCGTCGCGCGCGCGTGGAAAGCGCGCCGCCGATGGGAGCGATATTTAACGAGCGTAATTGCCACT